GGGAGCCCGATGTGGGACTCGATCCCGGGACTCCAGGATCATGACCTGAGCCGAAGGCAGTCGCTTAACCAACTGAGCCACCCAGGTGCCCCAGTACCCATTATTGCTCTAGAATTTATGTACTTTTTTGCATATCAGCTAACAGCAACTGTAAGAATAAGTTGGTAGTAATTTAAGAGTTTTTTTAAGCCCAGAAATGCGAGGTATAGCCGAATTTATTTATACCTGTAGCTAAATCTGCTCTATAACTGCCTGCCATCCATGTTTCCTCATCTGGTCTCATGGCTGACCAGAGGGGGAAAAAGGAACAAATGGCCCAGCCCAGGTTCTGTCCTTGCAGTAATAAATTCAAGCAATCGTTCTTGGCCTGTGGCCCTGGGAGGCTTACTGTAGTATTTAAAATATTAGTTGCAATGTTCTGGTCAATATTAGGTATAGAAAATGCCATTATACCTTTTTCATCTAAATTCAATCAACTGAAAACTTGAAATAGTTTGTTTCTACCTAGTTAGACTCTTGGTGACTATATTTCTCTATCCTTTCTTGGTCAGTCAAGCTCATTTGCTTGGAAAGTTGCTATAAATAAATATACAACAATTCTTTTGACTGAATATCACTGGAATGGTAATTTAATTGCAGGTCCTTCCTTTCCTAAAAACTCGAGTTCCTAATCAGGCCTCTCCTCCTGACCGCCTTGTTTCTATTAATGGTTTTCTTTATTTTCCACAAGTCATCTATGATTCCTTTTTCCCTCAGTGTCCTGCCCCTCCTCGTTGGTAGTCACTCACTCGGGCATGTTCATTCTTCACTCACACGCTCTTGTGGGTCTGTCCCTTAGTCCAGTGGGGGAGACCAGCCCGAGGGGGTGTTTGATGGTGCCATAAGGGTATTTACAGAAGATGGGCCTGGTGGTTTCTTTCTCCCTTCTGTCTCTCTTTAAGTTCTGTCCGTATTATCCTAGTTATTCTTAAAACACTACAACCGATGCTTAAAAAGCTTTATCTGGATCAATAATTATCTGAGTCCCTTCTGAAGTGTCTTAATCCCTTTGCTTTCTGCATAGATTGTAGTATGAAGTAGTTAATTCCAGGCATTTTCTATGTGTGCTTCCTAGATGGTAGCATCTGGCAAATTGTTAGAAATACAGAATCTTGGGCCGCACACCAGACCTACTGTTTCAGGAAGTCGGGGGGGGGGGTGGTAAAGCCCATAATCTGTAATTGGGTTATCCTGAGAATCACTGCTTTAGACCATGGCTGCTCCGGAGTCCATCCGCAGCACCAGGCATGCAGTGAGTGCCCTGCTCTTTAGGGAAGGGACTAATTTTACATTTGCATATTTCACAGTGCTTTGCATTAACATAAGAGGATTTGATAAAAATAATTTCTAGCCCTGCCTAATTTAGGATGGCTTCTTGTACAGTGTGTTCCACTTTCTAATCTCTTGGCTTCTACTTCGTGGGCGAAGATTGGGGAAGCATTAGGTTGCCTCAAAGGATGAGGTATTAGGATGGGCTTAGAACATGTCTTAAAAATACCTTTAGACATCAAGGGTGACGTCAGGAGGGGGTGTCACACTGCTCCCTTTCCCCTCTTGTTTATGATAGGGCATATGGAAGGGGCTCTTCTCCCCCTCCCTTTGGGGGCTGGTGTCCTGCTTTTCCAGTGTCTCCATCTTGTGCTTTCCCTGGGTGGTGGCTTAAATGTCTGTCATCTGATGGTTCTCCTATGTAGCTGCAGCCGAAACCCCGGTCCTGAACTGAAAACGCACAGTTCAGTCACCTGCTATTTCTGACGTGGGATGCAAACCCCGCCAAGTCTCCAAAACTACATCGACTGTTGGGGGCGTCTGAGCTGAGTTCTGTGGCTTCAGATATGTCTGTCTGCTGACAGCTTCTACTTGTCCGCCTCTGGCTTGGACCTCTGTACTTGACATGCAGACTCCGGTACCCGGTTTCCACTCCACACACCCCCTCGGGTGTCCACACTGCACTCTTCAGGCCTCCTCCCGAGCCCTAGTCCTTCCCATCTCAGTAGGTGGCATCTGCATTTTTCTCAGTTGCTCAGGCCCAGAGCCTAGAGGTCCTCATCGTCTCCCGCCTTTCTCTTAGACTGCACAGCTAACTCAAAAGGCAGATGCTGTGGGCTGTCTCTTCAGAACGGATCTAGGGTCTGACCGCACCTCACTGCCTCTACTGCTACCAGCTTGAGCTGAGCTGGCCTTCGGACAGCTCACTAACAGGTCTCCGTGTTCTGCCCCTGCCCCCCGGCCATCTGCTCTCCACTCAGCACCATGGCAGTCCTTTTACAACTTGTTATTCCTCTGCTCACAGCACTGCAGCGTCTTCCAGTCACGGTCCCTAGAGGAGCCTGGGAGGCTCTGCATGGTCTCCCCACCTCCTCCCTGCCTGTCTTGTCTACCCTCCTGCACGCAGGGCTCCGCTCGTACTTTCTCCGAGGACACCAACTGTGCCGCCTTCTCCAGGCCTTTCTGACCCTCGACGTTCCCTATGCGCGGGAGGGCGCAGCCTCCAGGAGCCGCGTGGTTTGCTCCTTACTTTCTTCCGGTCTGCAGTGATGTTCTCTCAGAGAAACCTTCTCTGAGTGCCCTGCTCGGAACAGGAGCCCTGTTGCTCTCTCCCCTTTACCCTGCTTAGTTTCTCTTCACGGCGTGTCTGACCGCTGGACCCCACATGTTTACTTATTTGTTGTCTGTCTGCTCTTAACCGGTTATCGGTCGCCTGAGAGCAAAGCTTTGTGTTCACTGCCTTCTCCCCGGGTCCAAGGTCACCGCCTGGCACATAGTTGGCACTCAAACATTTGTCAAGTGACTGGACCTTGTTGTCTCCTCCACGTTTACCGAAACCTCATCTGGAATCCATGCTTTGTTTCTGACACGACCTGTGGCTTGTTTTGTGGTTGGTTTATTTGACCGTGTGTCTCATGTTTCCTACCTTCTACTTCAGGTCTGTAGTGGCCTAGAACCACCTGGGCCCGGAGAAAGTGAACAGCTTTATTGGCTGTGTTGTTACAGGTTCGAAATTCTGAGGTTACTGGGTCACTGCCGGACTGAAGAGGTTTGGGGTCTGATTTTTTTTTTTTCCTTTCCTCTCTTTTTTGCACGTTCCTTCATCTGCCTGGTTTGGGGACTTAGTCCCGGACACGATGGTGCCTGGAATGATAGTCAGCTACAAGAGATGGCCCAGCTGAGGATTAAACACCAAGAAGAACTGACCGAACTACACAAGAAGCGTGGGGAGGTACTGATAGCCCCTCCTCGCCTCTGCCCTGTGCGGGCCCCACGGTGGGGAGAACAGGCGGGCGGGCACTGGCACTAGAATCTGCAGCCATCCTGGCTACATGAGGCATCGTACTGTCTCTGGGAACGCCGCATCCAGAAAGCTGAGGGCTTTCCCTCCGTCAGCAAGAGGGCAAGCCACTGGGCTAACTGCCGGGCGCCACACTCCCGGGTGGCATGAAAGGTCCAAGTGGAGAAACTTCCGAATGAAAGAAGCCTGCTGCCTGTTCCAGGGCAGATCTCACTAATACCTTCCTAAAGTGTTGGAGAGTGAACCCTGAAATTTCTGAAAAATTCATTATGGAAAAAAAGTCCTGGGTTGTGTTAATCCTGGGTGGCTGTTTGATGGCAAATTATGAGAAAATGCAAGTTCTCATCAATGCAGCTGAATTGATCATTTTATCAGCTGAAAAGTGTGAAAGGTGGCTGCGGTGGGGGGGACAGATGGGTCCTCAGCGGGAACCTGGCAGTAACCTGTGATATTTCCCATTGTTCCCATGAGCATCCCCATCGACCCTCCTGCTCCTCGCTGCCACCCAGCTCGTTTCTTCCTGGTGCCTTGGCCCAACCCAGCAGGGCACCTTTTCTTTCTTAAAAATAAAAGAGCCCACTGTTGTTTAGTTTCCTGCTGAGGTCCTGAAATCTCTCACTGATGCAAGTGTTCTTCTCCCCCAGTTAGCTCAATTGGTGATTGACCTGAATAACCAAATGCAGCAGAAGGACAGGGAGATGCAGATGAATGAAGCAAAGTGAGTAGAGACGACACCTCCTCTGGGGCTGGCCATGGAGTTGCACTCTCTGTTTTACTGTACTTTTGTGGGCGGGGCCAGTGGTGATTGCTGGCAAATGGTCACCACAGGGGACTCAGCAAGAGTGTCATTTCTGTGCCTGCATAGCCTAGGATTTTTTTCTACCTGCTCTAAGGATGGCAGAGGCAAGGACAGTGCCCTCAATCTTCCAGGTTGCCAGTATGCCGCTGGGAGGTACCCTTGGCCCTTGTGAGTGTCCCCGAAGCATTCGTGGCTCTCCCTGTGGCCACTGCATAGGAGAGCTGGCATCTTCTGTGGTGGAGATGGGGCCAGGGTATGTGAGCCTGTGGCCCTTGGAAACAGGGATGAGTTTGTCGGCAGGATAATCCTTGATCAGGGAGAAACCTGGGATTCCAAATCCTAGGACCTTTGAGCTGGAGGGGAGCCTGGGTTTCATCTATGCCTTTTTCCCTTGCTCTGCAGACAGGGGTCTCTAAAGGCTTAGAAAGGCATCTTTGCTCATTGAGTGATAGAACCGATGGAATGTGCAGAATTTCTAGCCTCCTTTTAAGCCCCTGTTAGTACTCTATTTAGGCATCAAAAGTTCCCTTTTCAGATCCTGCTTTTCTAGTCATCCCCTGGATGAATTTCACCCTAGGTAATTCCTCTTCTAATGGGCTTGTCCTGTAAACCACTGGGGCTAGGCTTGGCTAAATGAGATGTTCAAAAATGTGAAGAGTCCTCCGTGGCACCTGGTGTGATGGCTAAGGTTATTGTAGGGGGCCCATGCTCACAGAGCTCCAGCACCTGGCCAGGTGCTCTGGCTCCTCATGGGGCTCCGGAGCGGCCCCATTCCTCTTCTCCACGTCCCGCTTTCAGAATTGCAGAATGCTTGCAGACTATCTCTGACCTGGAGACGGAGTGCCAAGAACTACGCAGTAAGCTTCAGGACCTCGAAAGAGCCAACCAGACTCTGAAGGACGAATATGATGCCCTGCAGATCACGTTTACTGCCTTGGAGGAGAAACTGAGGAAAACTACTGAAGAGAACCAGGAGCTGGTCACCAGGTGGATGGCCGAGAAAGCCCAGGAAGCCAATCGCCTAAATGCAGAGAATGAAAAAGATTCAAGGTGGGACATCAGTCCACAGGTAGTGGTTTCCATTTTTAATAAAGTAGAGCCTGATTCTCTGAAAAGACAAAAATGAACCTGTCAGCTCTGATGAGGGAGAATGGGACAGCTGGCCAGAAAACACTAATAAAATCAGAAATCGCAGTGGTGCATGTAAAACAGATTTGCGTTTATAAGAACAGTTTTACAGCTGAGCGGAGGACTACTTTCCAAAAGGGCTTTGGCCCATACAGTTTTTGCCAGTGAATTCTTTTCAGTGTTTCAAGAAGAAAAGCTAATTCTTGAACAATAGAAGGTCAATCAGGGGGCGCCTGGGTGGCTCAGTCGTTAAGCGTCTGCCTTCGGCTCAGGTTATGATCCCGGGGTCCTGGGATCGAGCCCTACATCGGGCTCTCTGCTCCCCGCGGAAGCCTGCTTCTCCCTCTCCTACTCCCCCTGCTTGTGTTCCCTCTCTTGCTATGTCTCTCTCTCAAATAAAATATTTAAAAAAAAAAAAAGGTCAATCAGAATTAGAAAAAGATTGGAATTGCCCCCATCCCTAATTTTATAAAACCATTCATACCCATACCAAGGCTCTTGGTAGTATAACAAGAAGACTACAGTCTAACCTCACGAAATATAGATGTGAAATTCCTAAGATTCACTGGTACCTTTTTTTTTTTTTTTTTTTAGAGAGTGTGTACATGCACAAGGGGTGGGGTGGGGGGGAGCAGAGGAGGAGAGAAAAATCTCAGGCTCCACACCCAGTGCAGAGACTGATACTGGGCTCCATCCCACAACCCTGAGATTGTAACCTGAGCCGAAATCAAGAGTCAGATGCTTAACTGACTGAGCCACCCAAGTGCCCCAGTACCTTTTTTTTTTTTTTTTTTTTAATTTACTGCAGTCCTACTAGGATTTATCCCAGGAATTAAAAGATGGTGTATCTGGAAATCAATTAAATCTATCACCTTGGATGATAAACTATAGAGCCACTTTAGTAGAGCCCAAAAATGCCATTTGTTCAAATTCAGTTCCCAGTCCTGATAAAAACCCTTGAACTTGGAACAAAAGCTTTTAATAAAAACACCTGTCTGCAACCAACAGCCCATAGGGTTCTTAACAGGGAGGCCTTCCACCCTAGACACCAGGAGTCGGTCTTGATGGAGGGAAATGTGTGTGTTGAAAATTCCCACGGAGAGTCTAACATACATATCGAAACCAGGAACAGAAGAAGGAAGGGCTCACTGTCTCCCAACTCTGACCAATGTTTTGGCCATCTGACCAGATAGGACACAGAATGCAAGGCCACTAGAAAGGGTGGGGGCTCATGCTCATCCACCTAGAAAGCCTAAGCAAATCCACCAAGAAAACCAACACTAAGTGGTCAACAGATTAGAACATAACGATTTTAAAGCCATGTCTGTAGTTTAGGATTTGAGAAGATTGTTGCAGTTAATCTAAAAGAATGAAAATAGAAGTGTCGTAAGTAATAATGATTACTAATCCTACCAAATAATGTTCAAGTTGATTTCAGAATCTGTATAAAAACTGAAAACATAAGGTAGAGGTAAAAAAATGTGATTATCTGCTCTTTATGAAAAATTTCTAAATAGTATGAGTACTTTCCAAACATTAAAAATAATAGAAATAAAAAGTGGACTGTATAAAATTTTCAGATTTCTTAAAAGAACACAGAAATAATCAAGGAGGACATGCGATTGTCATGTAAATATCCTAACGTGGAGCTAATAAGACAGGCGAGCCCTCAGACAGACAGACATGAGGCACAGGGAGTTGCTGAAAGCAGGTGTCCTTGCGGTCAGGGAAGCTGGCCCAGAGGGCTGTTGGGAGGAAGGGGGAAGCCCCTTCACATTGTCCATGGGAACCACCTGAAGGGCACCTGGGCGTGACCTGAGAAGTGTTCCCACTTGTTGGACTTCATCCTAAGCAAGTCCTGAGACTTGGTCACGGGTATTATTTTGTGATGGCACATTACTCATAGTATTGAAAAATAAGCAGTATCTTCCTACGGGGAGAAATAAATTGTTATATTTTCATACAGTGCAGTTTTACAAAGTCATCCAAAAATACATGTCTTAGGAGTATTCAGTGACTCGAGAAAATGCATATAATTAATATAACTGAAAATAAGATAGAAAATCTTTTCATAGGACATGATGCAAAATTTGAATGAATTCGAAAGATTAAAAAGGAATTATACCGTTAATGGTGTTTATTTCTTCGTGGTGAGACTGTGGCTTTTCTTTTCTCATTTTATACTTCTCTGTATTTTCTAACTTTTTTAAGTTTCTATCGTATTAAAAAATGAGCTGTCCTTTTTTATTCTGTCTTGTGTTTACATTTTTTTTTTTTAAGATTTTATTTTTAAGCAATCTCTACACCCAACATGGGGCTCAAACTCACAACCCCAGGATCGAGAGTCACATGCTCTACTGACCAAGCCAGCCAGGCGCCCCTCATGTTTAAGTAAAATAGCTTGGCCTATGCTGTGGAGTCCTTAGACAGCTTAAAGGCAGGAAACTCACCAGGGTCACCTGGAAGTCAGTGCAGTGTGTTGAACACCTGCCGAGGGAGAAGCAGGCAGGCGTGTGGTTAAGCTAAGGAAGGGTCCTTGGTCATCACAGTGGACAGGAGAATAATACAAACTTGCTATTGAACATGGGGTGCAAGGCATATTACATGTTTGCCCTTGTTCCTTCCTTTGGAATGTTTTCCTAGGGATTTGCCCCGGGTGTATTCTCATCTGATTGCGTAGGCGGAGCCTGAGGTTTCTTCACTTTGCTCAGACTTTACTCCTTAGAAGCTTTCCCTCCTTCCTGCCGATCCCCAGGTTAGATGTTCTCCTTCTAGTAGCCTTTGTTTACCTGACTGATAGCATGGCACATTTCATGTTTTGAAGTAGCTGTTCATGTTCTGCCTCCCTCACTAGGCTGAGGTATTTGTCTTCACGGTCACAGTGGCTGATGTATTGGATGCACTTGGGGAATATTTGAACTATTAAAGAAGGTGCTTTCTTTTCGGTTATTTTAATGAAGGAGGAGCTGCAGGTGCTTTGTCCTGCCTGTGACCCTAGGTCTATCCTTTATCCCTCCCTTACAGCAGGTGCCTTTCGGGTAGACTAGTTGTTACATGCCCCACACTGAGATTCTGGTTTTCCCTCAAAGGTGGTTCATGGGTCATCTATTTCAGCTAAGAAAAAATTATTAAGCTTTGTCATTCGTCCTGTAAAACTTAGTTTTCATCTTCCAGATATAAAATTTAAGAATGTAGCACTTAGGTCGCTCAGTCGGTTAAGTGCCTGCCTCTTGATTTTGGCTCAGGTCCTGATCTAAGGGTCGTGAGATTGAGCCCTGCGTCGGGCTTCATGCTCAGGGGGGAGTCTGCTTGTCCCTCTCCCCCTCTGCCCCTCCTCCCACTTGTTTGTATGTGTGCATGCGCACTCGCGCTCTTTCTCTCTCAAAGAAATCTATAAATCTTAAAAAAAAAATGGGGGCGCCTGGGTGGTTCAGTCAGTTAAGCGTCTGCCTTCAGCTCGGATCATGATCCCAGGGTGCTGGGATTGAGCCCTGAGTCGGGCTTCCCTCTCAGTGGGAAGCCTGCTTCTCCCTCTCTTGCTGCCGCTCCCCCTGCTTGTGCTCTCTTTCTCTCTGTCAAATAAATTAAAAAAAAATTTTTTTTAATATAAAATTAGGAGTATAAGCTGCGACCTCATCCCTTCCCATGATTCAGATATGCCACCTAGAGGACTTCTCCCTGTTTTGAGAATTAACACTGTGGTAGAAGCTTTACAAAAAAAATTCCAGCAGAATTCTTGACTGGGGCTTAATAGCAGTGCTAGAGTTCCGGATTAGGGGTTCTCCACATAAAGAGTGAAACCACAGTTAGAGATGAAATTGCCATGGAAGAGAAAACGAGGCCAAGGTTAAAAATGGAGGAGATCCTGGATTTAGGACTTGGGGAGAGACAGAAATTATTCTGACAAGGGGAAATAGTGGACTTGACTGTTTGGCCACATAAAAATTTGTCCACAGCCGAGGGGTGCCTGGGTGGCTCAGTCAGTTAATCAGCCACCTACTCTTGATTTTTGGCTCAGTTCATGATCTCAGGGTCCTGGGATTGAGCCCCATGTGGGGCTTCACGCTCAGTGGAGAGTCTGCTTGAGGTTTCTCTTACTCCCTCTCCTGCCCCTCTCCCCCAGAAATAATCTTAAAAAAAAAAAAAAAAAATTGGTCCACAGCTGAGACGTCTGTGTTCAGCCCTGGTAAGTGAAGCCATGTGCATTTTGACAGTTCAAGAATCTCATACCTCAGTTTCCTTATCTGTAAAGTAGTGCTGAATCTCAAAGCCCTGTTACAAGGATTGAATGAGTTAAACCCTGGAGATAACAATACCAATACCAAGTCAGAGACAAGTAAATTCTAAGTAAATCTTAACTGTTCACTTTCCATGCTCTTGATATGTTGGTGTCAGACTACTTGCTGCAGAAAGCCGGCTCTTGATGGTGACTGACCCTGGGTAAACCTGACTCGCCTGAGAGGCCCCGGGTCACGACGGGCAGGCTTCTCCCTTGCCAGTTCACTGCTTTCTCTGATGACATAATCCCTCTTCGGGGCTTTGCTCTGGAACCCTTTCTAACAGGGTTCCTTACTGACGTTACTGGTGTGGGTTTGGGACTTCGGTATCTTGGCCCAGGGCAGTTATTTTAGGTGCACTGATGGACTATTTCGATGTGTTAGCAGAGCTAGGAGTTCACTGAGGGCTGAGACGCCGTGCTTTGTTGAAGCAGACCTAACTAGTGGCTTCCTTCGCTAGGAGGCGGCAAGCCCGGCTGCAGAAGGAGCTTGCAGAAGCAGCAAAGGAACCTCTGCCCGTTGAACAGTAAGTAGAGCTATTCCAATCACAACTGCTCTTAGTAGTTGGATTTGCACTTTTAAAGTGGTTTTGTCATGGTCTTATTTCTGTAAAACCGTTTTATAGATTGTAGAAAGGAACTAAAAGATGCAACCTCCCCGAAGGTTGCTGCAGCTCCTCCTCCTCATCGGCTTTGGCGCCCTCTGAATGGATGACTTCTGCACCCTGAATGAATGACTGCCTTGCTGCTTCCCTCTTGACACCTTGATCCATTTTCTACCCCTCGCTGGGCCTCTTGGAGTGTATCGCTGGGCTGGGGTTCTTTCTCTTGCTCTCCGTTCTTGCACGGTGTGTGACTTTGAGTGGAGGTGTGGGCAAACCTCTGAAGCCTAACTGAAAACAGCCGTTTCTGGGAGCAAAAGGGATTGAATCTGTTTGGAACTTTCCCCGATCTGGAGTTGGGGTGGAGGATCTTCCCCAAGATCTGAAGCTTTGTGTTAAGAGCGGTGCATAGTTTAATGACTGAATTCCCTTTGCTTCTAGTTCACGGTGTGTTCCTTTTCTACTGAAAAAGATTCTGGAATATAGTGTTAGAATTGTGATTTACTGGGTTTTAAAATGTTTTTTGTTTTCTTTTAGAATTTTTTTTTTTTTAAATTTATTCATTTGAGACAGAGAGATAGAGAGAGTAGGAGCAGTGGGGAGAGGCAGAGGGAGAGGGAGAAGCAGACTCCCCGCCAAGCAGGGAGCCCGATGCAGGGCTCGATCCCAGGACCTGGATATCATGACCTGAGCCGAAGGCAGACGCCCAACGACTGAGCCACCCAGGCGCCCCTGTTTTTTGTTTTCTTATAAATGGAGGGGACTGGTTTGAATTCAATTAGAGGAGCCATCCACCAGACAAGGTGTTAATTTATAAGGAAAAAAAAGGTTTTCATACCAAGGCTGTGCTTTAGATTTAGAATATGTACACTTTTTCTATACCCTCACATGTGGAAAATAAATCTCAGATGTATTTTCCTGACACTATAAAGTAAATAAATGATTGACCTAGAAACGACAGCTTACAAAAGCATCATTTGTCTGCCTCCCAACTGTAGCATAAACAGATAACTGGGTGTGACACAACGTAGGTCAAGCATGCTGCCCAAGAGCTCGTAGAAAGGGGCCAAGCGAAGCTGACCTGGGAGTGCCTGACTGTAAACGCCTGTTTGTCGTCTCTGTGCTTCCCAAAGAGTGGAGTTTCTGGGGCAAAGGACATTTCTATCTTTGAAGGGTTGTGATAACCAGTTGCCACATCCTGGTATTTTCTTGTGGCCCTGGGTCTTTGCACAGTTCCAAGTGTCTTCATGTCTGTCGCGTTCTGAAAGCATTTGCATAGGCTCGGCTCCAGGTCGCTACTCTTGCTGTCTCTGCCGCTCTGCTGTCATCCTTGTGTGGACACGAGTGACTCCCCCAAACTGCAACCACGAAGAAAAGAAAGGCCAGCCTTGTTCTCTTTCTTCAGGCCTGCCTTTGTTCTCCCCTACATCCTGGCCTAGACTGGGGTCAGTTGCGTGGAAGCCTAAAATCAGTAGCCAAGGAAAACAAATGGTCTTTGACTTGGTTTAACTTGCTTGGTAACAAGTTAAGTATATATTTACATAATCCGGATAATTAATCATGGAAAAATCTTGCTCTCAAGTTCTAAGGAGTCCTAACATTAGGTGATAAAGGTGTGGGTTGTTACGTTTTATTACTTTACTTCTGGTTGCAACTCGGTAGGAGGTCATTAAGACCAAAATAATTACTTGCCTTCCCCCCCAACCAGGAAAAAGGGGGTGGGGTGAATTCCAGAGGTGCTTTGTATCTGGCGGGATAAGGCGGGTAAACAACAGGGCATTTCTGTGGCTTGATTATTTCACGTGAAGCATGATGGACTCCCGAAACGTGAGAAGCACCAAGTGTTGCAACCTAAGCATAAAATACCCAGAGTCAAAAATGAATTGTGTTGAGATTTGGCTTTCCTGCTTCTATTATTAAGGCAGTATTTAAAGCCAATGTTAATGCAACCATTGACTCCATTGCCCTTCCAGCAAACCGTTTTCTTACTCCCCTGGATGTCCTCCTTGCCCTGTCATTTCCTTGTGCTCCAGAGCCGCCCCAGCCGTCGTCTGTGCCATGCTCAACCCATCGCGTGGGAACTGTTCTTGGCGAGCACTGTGGTCCAGTTGTTTGTGTGCAGGGGCCCTTAGCCACGAACCCGGCCTGAAGGAAAGAATCTCCGTTGGCACTGGATGCCTGGTTCTAGACTTAATAGATCATTCTTTCCTTGCTTTCCAAGTGGGAGCAATGTTTACACCTCAGAGGATCAAAAGATCACTTTTAAAGTTATTTTCAGCTGGAATTCTGGATTTGATGTCAATAGGTTAAACGTTTCTTTTAGTGTCGTTCAGAGCGCAGCTGTTCCTTTTTCTCCAGAGAGCCCTTGGCTGTCTCTGTCACAGCCAAGTCGCGTAGGCTGCGTGTGACCAGGAGACGGTGCTGGCCTTTGCGGAACAGATTCACCACAAAGCTCCTGCCGAGCAGGATCACAGACTTGGCCTCTTGCCCTTCTTTCCAGGGATGATGACATTGAAGTCATTGTGGACGAAACCTCTGATCACACGGAGGAGACGTCTCCCGTGCGGGCCATCAGCAGAGCGACCAGGTAAGTAGCCGGCGCGGGCCAGGAAAGGAGCGCTCATGCTGCAGTCTGACAGCACGTTTGTGGCCGCGGCAGGAGCAGCTCGATGCATCCAGGCCCCTTGCTGGAGCGCCCGGCCCCTCCTGCCTGCACAGCTGTGGAGATGGTGGGCTCCTGAGTGTCTCCATCTTCCTTAGGTCACCTTGTCATGGGAAGCAAGCCCCCCTAGCGCTGCCACCACCCTGTGAGGTGGTGGCTTCCCACAAGATGGACAGTTACACCTTGTTGGGATGAGTATTTAGATCATACTGTTTGCTTCGTACTTGGGTTCCAGGATTTTTTCTCTTTGCTGAATAAAGCAGGACTGAAAGGATGGGGATTGGTTGTTAACAGCCAACACTGTTAGGTCAGATTGCCCGAGTCATTGTCTAAAGCACGGTTTCTAGGACAGTTAATTTAATGCGAGGGAACCTCGTGTCTTTTAAAACTAACGAAGCTGGGTCCTCCCTCTTGCCTTCCCCCTGTTTTCTGATGGTTTGCTCCTCTGAGGGGTTTCTTCGCTGGGGTTTGGGGACTCGATGGGAAACATACTCCCAGGTACCTATTTTTGTGGACTGTTTTTATTGATGAATCATGGGCAAAATGTTTCTAAGGTTTAAACCTATCCTCCCCTCCTCTTTAGTAAGCGACTCTCGCAGCCTGCTGGAGGCCTTCTGGATTCTATCACTAATATCTTTGGGTAGGTTAGAAAACTTTCACCTTTCCTTGTTAATATGTGTGAGTATTCATAAGTATTGTATATGATTTATCAACATTTTTTAAACATATACCAAAATTTCTGTGGTGCCGAGCGTACAGATGCTTTGACTTCAGCTTTTCACCTAGCTTCTTCCTTTTTTCCTCCATTTTCTTTCTCTTACTCTCGCTGCGTGCTGATCTGGCCTTACCTTTAGTCTGTCCGAGTCTCCCCTTCTGGGACATCACTCTCCTGATGCTGCCAGGTGAAAAGAATACCTTCTCAGCCCGGCATGTGAGCGTGGCTCCTTGATGATTGTGCTGATTGCCGCTTCATCCCCTTCGTTGGATGTGCTTGCGTCTCCCAGGCCGCTGTGCATGTTCCTGGGAGCGCTGTCAGCCTCTCGAGCGGGTGACGGTTAGGTTGAGCCCTGCACAGCAGTCACGCTCTCCTCCCTCTCTCCTCTGGCATGCGTTCGACTCCGCCTTGGCCACACTGTACGCTGAGAATGATCGTAGCTAGGTGTAGACGTGACCTTGAAGTAGTCTTATCAGAATACAAATGAGCTCCCTTGGAGCAGGCAGTTATATTATGTTGAGAACGTTTTTGCAGCAGTTTATTGGCTGGGAAGCAGTTCTGGGGGATTGCTTTTCAGTGTTGGGTTTTGGAGTCCATGAGTTAGTAAGAGGTACAGGTATGTGTTGGATCCCTCTCCGGGTATCGTTTGGGTGAGGATGCCTCTGGTTGGGTGAATTGTTCTGTGGTTCGAAGAGTCTAGGAGGGAGAGGAAGCTACTGTCAAAAGTTGTCTTTGAATCCCTCCTGGGCGTTTGGTGGACAGGAAGCCTTGTGTAATCCTAATATTTTCCTTTATGTTACTTCTTAGGAGGCGCTCTGTCTCTTCCTTTCCAGTTCCCCAGGATAATGTGGATCCTCATCCTGGTTCTAGCAAAGAAGTGAGAGTGCCAACAGCAGCGACGTGTGTCTTCGTAAGTGCGGTTGAACCCCACGTGCCACCAAGCCTTGTGTGCTAACCGAGCTTGACCGTTCAAGGGTCCATTCTCTACAGCAGCTAGCTTTCTATTATTTTATTTAGAGCAATAGCAAGCTTTTACACCTGTTGGCTGTGTCTGATGGAAGGGTTTGATACATTTTGCTTAGGGACAGAATTTATTACAAACATTTTCTGTAATACAGGACTGGCTGAGAGAGAATCGCTAGCATGAGAAGATGGGACAAGGGAGAAGGAACTAGGGCTGGTGAGAAGTTACAGTAATTTGTGTCATGTTATCACTGGTGGGCTCCAATCTAGAGTGAGATTCTAGTCGGTAGTCTGTTCTAGAAGGTGGGTAAGGGCAGCTGTTTGCTCCATGAATTATACCCATATCTGTGTGACTTCCCTTTGTTAGGAGCACAAGGTTGGAAGTAGGAGACAGTCCTGGGCAGAGGACACTGTGATGCTGGGCTCTCAGCTGGAGTTCAGAGCTGGGTGCTAGTAGAAAAGAATAAGCAGGTCCCAGCTGGGGGGACTGAGCAGAAATGGATTCAGGCTGGGGAAATGCGGGGTACCTGACTCGGGGCTGGCAGG